CGCTGAAGCAGACGCTTAGCGTGAGAGCTTTATAGTTTCTTTCTTATATGCTTTTTCTCACTAAAATCAAACAACGTCTATGATATTTTTTTATCTTCTCGCAATTAAAACGGAATGGTTTATTATTTATGTGAGGCAATGTCAGGGCGTAACACACGCACTAAGTTACTAACGGAAGAACAGAGAATAAAAATACGATTTTTACGTATTTTTCGTCCGAAATAACGATAATCGTTTCATAATTTCAGAGAAAATGCATTTGCATCCGTTATCCACATGCCATACAAGGTACACCTCCTTTAAGTAGAAAAAAGAAATAGACTCCCTTCCCCCCAAAAAAAACATATTGTCTAATTCTTATATGACCACGCTTGTAATATTAAATATAAATTGTATCTATAGCAGAGCTAAGCTCCAAAATTGTAATGAACGTGGTTCGTATTGGTCACCAATTTGTAGTGTGAGGAGTTACTACTTATTATTGTTGATTTGTTTTTTTTTTTTTTCTTTCGTTTTGTTTTACGGCATATCAAACTCAATGAGTCATTTAATGCCGACAACTTTTTTTTCCTGGTAATATTTTTGTCAAAAATCTATTTCTGGTAATATTTAAAAAAAAAAAAAAAAAAAAAATATTTCCGGTAATAATTATTTACAAAGTATTTTTGGTATTAAAACCTATTTTTACACTTTCATAATGCTTTTTACCTCAGTTTCGGGGTTAACCATTTGCCCATAGCTGAGACCGTAACAGATTCTACCAGCCCGGGTCAGGGTGGACCTGGGAACAACAGCAATTAAGAAGTGGTTTCACACTCCTGAAAACCTCCTGATCAGAGGACTTGCCGTTGGACGTAGTTTATCGTCATACCCAGGACGGACTTGTATATGAATTTCAATACGTGGAGGAATTTTACTGCATATTTATATGAACAACGTATTCCATAAAAGAAGAATAGTAATAATTAGTAATGTTATTAAGATCGGTTTTAATAGGTGGTCTGATCCTTTCGATATGATTAAATTGGTAGTTGACCTATAAAAAAAAATTGACCTGCAATCTGTTAACTGGGGCAAAGAATGGCTTGTAACGCCAACAAAACGAAACTGCTCTCTTTTAATCAGCTCAGAGAACCCTTTTTACCTCTCATCAGCATGGCTGATGCTAATCAGGTGAGCGACTCATTACGCCGTCTCGGTCTAACATTTTCCGCTAATATGAAGTGAAAAGATTATATTGAATAAATTGCTAGGCTTGATGCGAGGAAAATTGGTTCATTATGCCGTATTAGATAATTTTTCACGACAGAATCTACTTTACACATTTATGTCTCCCATTCGTCCAAGCATTGAACATTTCTGCCACTTCTGGTCTGGCGCTCCTGTTATATATTTAGAGATTCTTCGGGCACCACGACGTGGTGTAATGGTTGGAAAGCTTGTCTTGCTAAAATACTTACGACTGAATAGCGAGTTCAATCCTCACAGGGTGCCCTATACTTTCGGCCTTGTACCACATCTAAGCTGCGCTTAGAAAAATCACTATATTTAGAGATTCTTGATAAAATACAAAGATGAATCTACCATGTTATTGGTCTTGACCTGGCATCTACGCTTCAGTCACTTTCCCACCGTCATAATGCTTCCTTGAATCTTTTCTAGAAATACTTTCATTCTAACAGTTCTGATGAACTTTCGTCTATGGTACCTAGACTTTATGAATTTAAGCTCAGTAATATATTGGCGGTAAGGTTTCATTTTTCAGTTGAAACGGTTAGATGTAACCGTAAGTTCTATGCTAACAGTTTCTTCTATAGCACTTGTGGAACCCTCTTCCAGCTTCTTGTTTCCCAGTCAGTTTTGATCTACTTTTTTTATTTATTGCAATGTCAATCATTATCTTCTGTCTTAATTCTTGCTTTTTTTATTGTTCCTTCTTAGTGTTATTTTTCTTATATTCTATAACGCTCAGTAACTTCTTACGTCTTAGTGGCTTTGCCTTGCTCGAGGTAGAAATGATAAAAAAAATGAAAGACGTTCTCCTAGATTTAGGTGACGAGAAAATGCAAAAATAATTTCAAAATCAGGTTTGGAAAAGGAAACGAGAGTTATTTCATCAGGCGCTTCTCAATTCACGGAAAACTAGGGAAGTTAATTTCTTGCCTTTTTTTTTCATTGGAATTTTGACGTGAATTTAATTTTTTTTTAATATTTGCTTATGTTTGCCACACTCGAATTAAATAAGAAGTCGTAAACAATCTATTTTTTTTAACGGCTTATTTATCCTTTTGTGGATTATTTATAGCCAGAAAATATTTTTTATAGATTATAAGAATTTTTATTTGGGGGGTAATAATGGTTTAGCGAACGAGTTTTATTAATTTCTTCCTACCTGGGTGAGAGAAGAATTAATAACTTGTGCGTAAGTAAATATAACGAACGGCCTCTCCGATTAACAAATTCCGAGCCATTATCCATTACACCCCCCTGCACATCGAAGCTTACAGCACCTGGTATTCCCAAACGGTCACCCATCTAGGTACTGAATAGACTGGACGTTGCTTAACTTCGGTGATCAACGTGATCTGGCCGTAAGCCAACATTTGTTACTCAACCAAAAATATTGAACACTCATTAACGATACAGTAACACTAACTTGAGTGGCTCTTGTGCTTTTGTGAATATCAGTATAAATAACGTTACTATATATATATATATATATATATATATATATATATATATATATATATAAAGGGAACGATTAGAACGTTTGCTTTCTGACTATCAGACCCTCGGGTTCTAATCTCACCATGGTCGCTTTGTCAAGTAGGCTTTTTGATGTTATCGGTCTGGAGGAGATGATTCGAGCGTTCGGCACCTTTGGGAAGGGCGGGAAAACCATACCCCGGTTTGAGCCAAGCCTTTTGAGTGAAATTGGGTAGACGGAACACTTGGCGGGGGGCGTTCCTAGCTCTGCTAGCCCGAAGTCACAGGTCACAAGACATCGTGACCGAGTATGCTGGCTTTGTTCAGATTGCTTAAGCTAGATAACACGCTTCTCTCAAAGAAGCTGTAACTAAAGTCTGCTCAGCATACTTGCAGTATAAAACACAGGTGGGCTCTATGGGTGTCGAACAAAGACAAAAATGCGTCAGAGCAATCGTCTGTAATAGGGATTAGCTAGCCTAGTATCCTCGAATACGAGTGACCAGCATATATAAAAGCACAGACTCAACATAAAAAAGAACAATTTTTTTTTCCAAAATCTAAGTATAACATTTAGTTTTCTTATGGTCTTATGGTGCCTATGGCAGGTTTGTGAAATGGCACATTTTTTTGCCTTTCTTTCCATGTGTTTTACAACAATTTTTCTAATTGGTTTTATTTCTTGTAAATCAAGAAATAAAACCAATTAAATAAATTGTTGGGTTTTAATTGTGCTTATTTTAGTTTTTAATTGCCTTGTTTGAATTTCTTAAATTTTTCTTAATTGTTTCTTATTTGTCCTTAATTGACATTTTCTCCCTTTTGGCTAACTAGTGACAACGCACGCTCTTGTACCACTTGTCATTAGATTCCAATTAGAGGAATTTTTCTTTCCGTCACCACCCACGGAAAGAAAAAAACTAACTCACCCGTGCACAGATAATTGATTATGACATTTAGCTGACTGACAAAGTCGCAAGTATAGATCACCCAATGAAGATCGAACAGACATTCAGTTGCTAATAATCTTTTAGGCTTCCATTATATTCCTGGAGAAGGTTTTATTGCGTATGAAAATCTCAAAATGTTTAAATAAATTAATCAGTAGGAGAGATCAGGCGTATATGGAGGATGAGGCAACATTTCATAATTCAGGCTAAGCAGCTTTTGGACAGTTGATCGAGAAGCGTGCGACCATGCTTCGTCGTGCAGGAAAGTTGAGCCATCTCTATTCACAAGTTTAGGCTGTTTCTTTTTCAATTTTTCATGCATATACTCAATTTCTCCACAGTACAAATTTGCTGTTATTGTTTTCCCTTGAGGCAAGAACGAATAATAAATAACCTCTTTGAAAGAGCACCATACAGTAACTTTTTAGGGTGCAGTGGAGGTTTTGTGTATTGTTTTGGTGATTCACTTGCATCTAACCACTGGCCTACTGTCTTAGCTTTGTAAAAGACAATCCATGCAATTATCACACTTGTTACAGATATATACAAATATTAAACATTCTGTATTAATAAAATGATACCAAAAAATTTGGCAACTTTGAACAGCGAGCGTGAACAGAATTCACTTTTGCTGCTTGCCTTTGCGATCTACAAGGGCTCCTTCGAAAGAAAAGGTGGAAAACAGATTTGGAATAAGCATTTATTTAATTGTATGATCAAATTTCGTAAAATGACATATCGCAAATTCAATCGTATATCTAGTAATCAAGTCGATGAAGGCGTTGGTTAGATCCAGTGACTAGATCCAAAGAGTTGGGAGTTCAATAACAGGCTACAGCAGTGGTGAACCAAAAAATGTGCAGAGTCCAGTTAAAGGGAAATAACAGAGATCCAGAAGAGGCATGACACGTGGAACTAGAACAATCTACCCTGGTGGACGAAATAAAGGTTTCGGTTCAAAATTTGGATTTTGTCGACATACATTTCATTTGTCATCGCATGTAATGATTCGATGTAAAAATAGTTCTTTTTTTCCAGTTTGTACTCATATAGTAAGATTACTAGACATTGTTTCGTTGTAATCATTTTCATTGGGCTTATGAGTAACAATATATTGAAAGAATATCTGAAAAGAAAAATTATCTGAAAAGATAAGAGTCAGGAAAAAGTCAAGTTTTTTTTATATGTTATTTCGTTAGACGACCGGGTCAACAACAAACCAAAAATACGTTATTTCATGTGTGACAACCTAATATTTTATCAGTCAGGTGCAAGTTATAAAAATATGGAATATTCACTGAGGTTCGAACTCGCTTCAGTAATAGTAGTCCGTGAGACTCGCTTAACAACCGCTGCTCCATCATGGAGTGGCAAAGATCTGTTTGCTTCTTTTGTTTATTATGCTTTCTTTCTTTTTCTCTTCAGTCTTTCTCTTGCTGTCCTTGTTGGTTTAATTCTGATTTCTTTCGTTCTTTTTCATTCTACTGTTTGTTATTTTTTATTTTTTTTAAAAAAAATATGTTGTTATTTTCTTTGTTATTTTCTTTTCCCCCCTCTCTCTTTTCATTGCACCCCATTCATTTTCTTCTTTCTGCATTCTGCTAAGTCAACTTCCTGCTTGCAGTATGCTGATATCTATCTGATGCAAGATTTTTTTTTTCCAAAGATCGCACTTTTCCCTAATTCTCAGAGCTGAATTTACCCCTCCCCACTCTCACGCACAAACCTGAATCACCCCCCCTCCACTGTTACACTTTCACAACCCTTTTCCCGAAATACGAGCCCTACCACATTGCACTTGATGAAGTAAATAAAAAAAAATAAAAATCCTTGCAAGTTTTATGATTATCACATATCACTACCACCACGCATAACAAAGAGTAACAAATATATATATATATATATATATATATATATATATATATATATATATATATATATATATATATAGAGAGAGAGAGAGAACAAACAAAAAAAAAAACACACACAGCCGCTCTTTACTGATGGCGACAGAGCTTTTAAGTTATTTAGTTTTATTTATTTATTTATCTATTTTCTTTTTTTTTGCATCTTGGAACTCCTCTATAGCAGACGTCTATACTGGGTCAATAAGTGCACTTTGTGAGGTCATGTAGTGCGCTGACTACATCGAGGTATATTCCAAGAGAGGAATCAATTTCTGTGTAAACAGTTCAGGAACTTCCTCGTCTGGAATAAGGATAGATAGATATGTGACCGTGGGCAGGAGAAATAGAAAGAGAGGTGAACCAGAGTAGGATGGAGATGTGCGGCTGGGTGGGGGTTGTTTAAGTTTTAGAAGAAGCGAAAAGAGCCGTTGGGTGGGGTTTGGGCTAAAGTAGAGGATTTGGAAGAGAGCTGATGGTAGATGTGATCTTGCTGTCATTGTTTCCAAGAACGAGCGCGCATGCATCTTGGAGTTTGTCGACATGTGCGTAAGTGAATATGACAGTGCAGATGCAGCACCAGAAATGTGCCTACTTGCAAAGGTATATATATATATATATATGGGTGCTGTCTATGGTCAATAATGAAGCAAACAATGAGAACTGAAGTTGATTTGCAACAATAGAAAGGCAATCATGTTTCTGCAGAATGTAATAACATGTTTACTGAGATTAACGAAGTCTGACAGAGGAACAAGAGCTGAGCACTCAGTGAGAATCAATATCATATCACGAGCAAAGGCTTAAAAAGGACATTCGCTAATAACTGCTCCGATTGTCAATTATTTATAAGCGTACACGTCGTTTTATATATCTCAGTAAAAAAAGTGACCGACAAAAATATTATTAAATCTTTTTGTTTTATTTGACATGTGGAAGCCTAATAAAGGAATAGTATTTTCTGTGCTGGGCTAAATTTCAAAGCTAGCGGACGTTAATAACCTCAGTGCGAGAATCACCAAGTCTTTGGCCATGTCACCTTTGTCTCATCGCCATTCTTTCTCCCTCCCCGGTTTGTCCCATGATGCCTACTATAAGATGCGGGCGGGGGGATGATTTGAGTAGCAGGGTTAGCAAGAATACAGCCAAGCAAGTTTTATGTAAAATAAAAAATAAATAAATAAAAATGAAAAGAGAAAGAAAATAAAGAAAAGAAAAAACAACTTTGGTATTAACATTGTGGAAAAACATTCCAATGTTGAACATCTTATAGAATTGGGAAAATTAGAGAAATATAAGCAGACAAATTATATATATATATATACTCATGAGATCAAATGGATACACATTTAGTCATTACACGGTAATATGTCTATACTTCCACATGTTCTCTTATCTCAGTTTTCTATATTATCACAAATACGTTTTCAAACTCTTATGTCTACACACACACATTTTATATATATATATATATATATATATATATATATGTGTGTGGACAGATTGACACGATCAGACGGAGATAAATATGAAAGAAAAAAAAAATGAAGCAGTACGTCAAAAATGTCATGCAGAAAGATATGGAAAGAACACAAATTTTCTCCTTGATTTCAAACTATAAGCGCGGTTTCGATACTGGTGATGGCAGCACTGACATTATATGACAGAAATTCTATTAAGTGGTCAAGGCTCTCCCAAGGTATTCACGTTTCTACCTAATATAGTTTATATCACATGAATGTATATAAACAAGAAAGAATTATGGACTATATAAGTAATGAAAAGCTTGGTAATCCGTATGGATAATCCGAAGGAGTATGTAATCCAGAAAGCTCAATGGCAAATCAGAGTAAATATTAATTCAATTTCAATAGAAAGCAGACAACCTTAAGAGTCGATTGGTTATAATTTATTTCCTCAGGTATATGATTTTTACCTGGTTCATCAGATCACACTTCCAAGGGTAAAAATTTTTTAAATTTACATATAGTTTTTACACACTTTTGAGGGGTAGTTTTAAGTTGATATA